AGACGATGCCTAGAATGATATAAAGCCAAGTGTTAAAGCTGATGATCTCAGAATTTTTCTCTACATGAGCATCTATCAATTCTCTAATCAGAAAAGAAAAAATCTCGTCTACGGGCAGGTAGAAGGAAGCAAGGCAGAGAGGACAGCAACCAGCCAAATAACTACCACTGCTATGATTTCATGGTTAAAATACCACATTCTGTTTATTCTTATAGAACATAAATACATATAAGTCCAACCATAGCAGTGTAAAACTAGGATTCAATTATAAGAAAAAAGCAAGGAGGGAAAAACACATGGAGACCCAACAACATGCTAGTGAACAACCAATGGGTCAATGAAGAAATCAAAGATGAGATAAAAAAAAAAAAATACATGGAGACAGACAAAAATGCAAACATAATGACAAAATCTTTTGGGGGGGGCGCCTAGCTGGCTCAGTCAGTGGAGCATTCAACTCTTAATCTCAGGGTCAGGAGTTCAAGCCCCACTTTGGGTGTGGAGCCTACTTAAAAAAAAAAAAGAAAAGAAAAAAAATCTTTGGGATGCAGCAAAAGTAATTCTCAGTGGGAAGTTTATAGTAGTGTAGGCCTACTACAAGAAATAAGAAAAACCTCAAAGAAACCGTCAAACCTTACACCTGAAGGAACTAGAAAAAGAAGAATAAAACCCAAAGTTAGTAGAAGGGAGGGGATAGTGAAGATTATAACCAAAATAAATGAAAAAAAGAAATCACTGAAACCAAGAGCTTGTTCTTTGAAAAGATAAAACAGAATTGATAAACCTTTAGCCAGACTCATCAAAAAATACCCAATGAGTCAAATCAGAAATGAAGGAGAATTAACAACCAACATCACAGAAATACGAAGAATTATAAAATACTATGAAAAATTATATAATTAGAGAAACTAGAAGAAATGGAAAAATTTCTAGAAACAGTCTTCCAAAATTGAAATCAGGAGGAAATAGAAAATTTGAACAGGCCATTTATTAGTAACAAAATTGAATCTGTAATAAAAAAACTCCCAAAAGTTCAGGACTGGATGGCTTTATAAGTGAACTCTACCAAACACTTAAAGAAGAGTTAATACCTATTCTTCTCAAACTATTCCAAAAAATAGAAGAGGAAGGGAAATCTCTAAATTCATTCTATAAGGCCAGCTTCACCCTGATACCAAAACCAGACAAAGACACTACTAAAAAAGAGAACTATAGGCCAACATCTCTGACGAATCCAGACCCAAAAATCCTCAACCCATATCACCAACCAAATTCGGTATGTTAAAAGGATCATTCACCATGATTAAATGTGATTTATTCCGGGGAATCAAAAGTGGGTCAATATTCTCAAAATCAATGTAACAGGTCACATTAACCAAAATGATTAAAACCATACTACCATCTCAAGAGATCCAGAAAAAGGATTTGACAAAATGCAACATTTGTTTATGATAAAAACTCTCCATCTCAAGAGATCCAGAAAAAGGATTTGACAAAATGCAACATTTGTTTATGATAAAAACTCTCAACACAGTGGACGTAGAGGGAACCTACCTCAACATAATAAAGACCTTGTACAAAAACCCCACAGCCAACATCATATCCTCTCTTACCACATTTATTCAACATAGTTCTGAAAGTCCTAGGCGCAGCTAGGAGACAGGAAATAAAAGCATCCAAGCTAGTAAGAAAGAAGTGAAACTGTCACCATTTGCAGATGACAGGATACTGTATATAGAAAACCCTAAGGACCAAAAAAAAAAAGAAAAAAACCTATTAGAATAAAGGAATTCAGTAAAGTTGTAGGATACAAAATTAATATGTAGAAATCTGCAGCATTTCTATATGTGAATCATGAAGTAGCAAAAAGAAAAACTAAGAAAACAATCTAATCTACGATTGCACCACAAGGAACAAAATATCTAGGAATAAATTTTATAAAGGAAGTGAAAGACCTATACTCTGAACACTGTAAGATATTGATGAAAGAGATTAAATAGGACACAAATAGAAAGATATTCCATGCTCATGGATTGGAAGGATTAATATTGTTAAAATGTCCGTATTCCCCAAAGTAAGCCACAGATTGAATGCAATCCCTATCAAAATACCAATGCCACTTTTCACAGAACTAAAACAAAATCCTAAAATTTGTGTGAAACCACAAAAGACCGCAAACAGCTAACGCAATCTTGAGGAAGGAGAATAAAGCTGGAGGAATCTTGGAGTATGTCCAGATCTCAAGCTATACGACAAAGCTGTAGTGATCAGCACAGAAGGGTCCTTGCGCAAAAACAGACACACAGATCAATGGATCCAAATAGAGAGCCCAGAAACAAACCCACACTTATGTGGTCAATATACCTATGACAAAGAAGTCAAAATATACAGTGAGAAAGAGATCGTCTCTTCAACAAATGGTGCTGGCCAAACTGGACGGCTATGTGCCAAAGAAGGACACTGGGCCACTTTCTGACACCGCACCAAAAATAAACTCTGGATAGATTAAAGACCTACATATGAGATGTGACACCATGAAAATCCTAGAAGAAAACATAGGTAGTCATCTCTTGGACATTGGCCTTAGCAACATATTTATGGATAAGTCTCCTCAGGCAAGGGAAGCAAAAGCAAATATAAACTATTGGAACTACATCAAAATAAAAAGATTCTGCACAGGAAAGTAAAAAGACAAACACACAAAAGAACTCAATAAAACAGCAAAGTAACTTACTGAATGGAAGAAGAGATTTTCCAATGATACATCCAATAAAAGGTTAATATCTAAACTACATAAAGAACTTACACAACTCAGCACTAAACAACAATAACAACACAAACACACACAAACCAAAAACCAAACAATCCCGTTAAAAAATAGGCAGAGGACTTGAAGAGACATTTTTCAAAAGAAGACCTACAGATGACCAATACACACATGAAAAAATGCTCAACATCACTAATCAGCAGGGAAATGCAAATCAAACCCACAATAAGATAGCACCTCACCCAGTCAGAATGGTTAGTATCAAAAAGAAGTGTGGGCAAGAATGTGGAGAAAAAGGAACCTTTGTGCACCGTTGGTGGGAACGCAAACCAGTGCAGCCACTGTGGTAAACAGTACGGAGTTTTCTCAAAAAATTAAAAATAGAATTACTATATGATCCAGTAATTCCACTACTGGGTATTTACCCCCCAAAATGAAAACACTGATTCAAAAATATATATGCACCCCTATGTTTACTGCTGCATTACTTACATGTGTCCAACTATGAAAGCAACCCAAGTGTCCATGGATACGCGAATGGATAAAGGCGATGTGATTATATACACACGCACACACGCACACATGAATATTACTCAGCCATAAAAAGAATAAAATCCTGAAATTTGGGATAATATGGGCAGACTCCAGGGTATTATGCTAAATGAAATAAGTCAGAGAAAGACAAACACCACATGATTCCACCTACACGTGGAACGTAAGAAACGCATGAATAGACTCTTCAATACAAAGAAACTGGAGGGAAGGGGATCAGCCAAACAGGTGAAAGGGATTAAGAGGTACAAACTTCCAGTTATAAGCCAAGGAAATGAAAGGTACAGCACAGGAGATACACTAGACGATATAATAACGCATGGGAACAGGTGGTGACCACACTTAGCGTGCGAAACACCGAATAATGTATACAATCATTGAATCACGATGCTGTCCAGACGTAATGCAGCATTACACACCAACTATGCTTTAGTAATAAATAAGAAGACAATAGGCAAGAAGTATCAGGGCAATAATGACCCCCAAAGTGAGGCCAGTTTGCTTTTACAGTTCTTACAAATTAATGAACTGATTTTCTCCATTTATGCATTATTCTTTTTGTGACGTCAAATCTTTAAAGAGCAGATATATTAACAAAAGGTAACCCCAGAGCCAACAAGACCCCACAGAGCCTGTCCCTAGACCGCCAGCCAGTAGGGGACGGTTTAGGCACACAGCTGGCATCCTTCAGGCCCCTTCCTTCTGAATCATTTCACCGACCTGTAGCATTGAGTCCAGAGGTCACCAAAGAGCAGCTCTGAAGAGGGAGAAGGTGATACTACAACAATTCCCACACAGAGAGAGAGATAAAATCAATCACGAAAAGGGATCGGGTAGGATCAGGGAAGGTGAAGTAATCCCGCTCATCATAAACTGAAAGGTGAAGTGGACGCACCCAGGGCACTTAGTCATCTTCGATGATGACATCACTATTTGCATCAGGACGGATGCTGAGGGGCAGGATCTGTGTCCAGTTCACGTTTCAAATTAAGTTAATGACACGCGCGTGAGTATTTCTACTAGAGAAACCTCTCTGTGCACACGGAGGATTGATCACCCGCTTGATCAATCAGGCAGCATCTACCTTCCGCCAGGGTCAGGGAAGATAACCCAACGCCATTCAAGTGCCAAGTAAGAAAGCTGAAACTAATGTCTAAAAGTGGCCTGAGGAGAGGATCAATTTCAGCTCTGTTACCATCCTGCTTTCCATACTGAATTATCAGGACTTACTGGTAATAATTTGACCCGATCTTGACGTCACAAACAAATGTTAACCACTCCTATCAAATGGAGGTACTTAAGAATCATCTTTGTCACAGAGCACTGTTTAGCTACAAAACTAGCAAAAGTGTATAGGGTCAGAATGGGAGTCAATTTGAGGGCGGGTCCAGGGAAGCCACCAGATGGTCCCTACAAAGAATGTAGTAGGAGGAGACATTGGAGGAGCTGACCCACGTGGGACGTCTGAACAGATCCTTCCTGCTCCTTGTACGGATGCAATTTTTAGACAATGCACAGCGAAGAGGTGGAAAATCACCTCAGGTGTGGTTTCTCTTTGTAAAAACAAGGAGACTCACCATTTTTTGAAAATTCTTTCTTAATTTCTTAAATTATGACTCATCATTAATTTTTTTGGCACCTTTGGAAGAAAGTTAACACGCGTGAGAAGTAAACGTTATACCTCTTTGTAATTAATGTGCCCATCTTGAAGGTGGAGAAACTCCAGAGCTCTGTGTCCTGAAAGAAATACAGAAATCAATTAAATTCAACCATAACTGGACACAGAACTGACTTGAGAAATTTTAACGGGAAAATGTAACTTTGTCATTGTAACTGTCAAGGAAATGGGGAAATGAAAACTAAGTGTGTACTCACTAGTAATTTTCATTAGGACCAAGATTCACATACTATTTATGTTGTTAAACTACAGATCAGATTTGCATGGGGATTTGAACTTTCTGCTTAGCTAGCACGATGGCCCTGGCTAGGCTAGGTCTCAGTTCCCTCCTAAGTAAAATTAAGTAATAATACCCACCTTACAGGTTTGTTGAGGGAGTCACACAAAATAAATGCTGTGTGAGGAGCACAATGGCTGATACACACTAGGAGCTCAGTAAACAGAAGGTGTCATCACTGTATTTTGCCTCAACAACTCACTGAGATAAATAAACCGAAGCAGGAAATAGGATACACGGCCAAAGGCATGGAATGAATCAATGATTCTCAAATGTTTTCCCCCATCAATTAGACCACATTAGATGGACCAGGAAAAAAAATTTCAAGTCGCCTGCTCCGCCCACATGCCCACACACCCACACCCTGAAATCTTCTCAGAACCTAGAAGACGAAGATGCCTTATGAAGTCACCTTCAAAGGCAATACCTTATTTTTATTGGGCATCACAACCAGTTTTATAATTCATACAAAAACACAGCCACTGCTAGAAGCATTGATACTATGATACAAGCTCACAGCCCACACAAATCACCTGTACAGAAGATTCCAGAAATTTACAAATCCAAACCACTGAACGAGGCCAAATCTAATTAACTTACCTGAACGTCACCCTTCCACACAGGGTTTATAGAAGTGAAAATATGAACAAGATATTTATAAAATCTTCTAACTAGTGAATGTTGGAGTTTTGCCTTTTACATAAAACCCCTCAAAATCTGGGGTATCTGGGTGGCTGAGTTGGTTAAGCATCCGACTTCAGCTCAGGTCATGATCTCATGGTTTATGGGTTTGAGCCCCCCACCCCCACCCGGGTCGGGCTCTGTACTGACAGCTCAGAGCCTAAAGCTTACATCAGGTCTTCTGTCACCCTCTCTCTCTGCCCTTCCCTTGCTTGTGCTCTCTCTCTTAAAAATTAATAAACATTAAAAAAAATTTTTTAAATCCTCAAAATCTGTGCAGATTAGAAACTGTCTTCAATTACCTTCACATAAAGTTTTATGTTAATATAGTACATTTCCTATGTGTTTAGTATATATTAATTAGGATCTTTGGCACAGATAAAAAAATAACAATTATCTGATAATTTAAAATTGTATATTTCATCTGTGTTTAAACTCGAAGGAAATGCTTGAGGATTTCCACTTATATTGGTACTTTTTCAGCCCACTTCTAGTTTTAGCCAATTTCAACTTCAAAGAACTTACACTTGGAAAATACTTTCAAATTCATTGGGAAGTTCAGCACCTCATTCTACAGGAGAGGAACAGAAGGGAAATGGATCGATCTGTGGCACATACTTAGTTTATAGCAGATCTGGTATTCGAACCTTGGTCTAACTCTCTTTCCTACCGTTCCCTGACTCCTGTTAGCAACAAGTGTTTTTGGACAGAACCCTGGGCTGGCTGTCAGGACACCCCACCCTAGGCCAGGCCACTAACGAGCCAGCTGGGAGATTTTCTAGATCCATGTCCTTGTACATGACCCACAGGGGCTGGGCTCAGTGAGCTCTAGTGCCCTTTCAGGTAAAATCCTGGGAGCATAGGTTCCTGCACTAGACCTCAATGCCTCGGTCTATCCTGCACTGGTAAGTGTTCACACTCTATTTGTAATCTTTCCCTGCCTCATACCTTCCGGAGTTGGCCTAACTATGAAATATTGTTGTTTTTAATCTAAAAGTAAACCCAGACATCAGGTATTACCTGAAACGAATCTGAAAATTGTTGCAGAATATAATCCCATCTGATTAGATTATAAATTGTCTGACTTTTTCCAGGAGTTAAAAAATAGTACAAATCCAGGGAGCCTGGGTGGCTCAGTCGGTTAAGCATCCGACTTCGGCTCAGGTCATGATCTCATGGTTCGTGGCTTCGAGCCCCACATCAGGCTCTGTGCTGACAGCTGGAGCTGCTTCAGATTCCGTGTCTCCTTCTCTCTCTGACCCTCCCCTGCTCACACTGTCTCTCTCTCTCAGAAATAAATAAAACATTTTAAAAAATAGTACAAATCCACCTTGTACGAGAACCAAACGTGCTGCCCACCAGCATCCGATACCCTGCTGGTGGCCGGTCCTTCCCAGCTCTGTCACCCTGGGCACCTCCAACGCCAGTGGCCAAACTCCCTCACTTCCTCGCCCTCCCTGCAGCCAACAACCCCACTCTGGGGGGTACACTCATGGGCCACAGGGGCCCTTTACACGTACTCGGAAACACAAAACAACAAAGATATCTTCCTCACTCTTCCCGAATTCCACGCATCTGTCTCCTCTCCCGATCGGTCAGATCTTCTGCTTCGGGGCAGCAGTTCATCCAGCTCTGTCTGCCCGCCCCAAGAAACAGCCAGGAACCGCATGACCAAAGCTGCATCGCTGCCCTGTCTCCTGCCCGCCCCGCCGCCTGGCTGCTGGCCGCATTGGGGGAGCCTGCTGTCAACACGCAGGACCGACTTCCCAGGTGTCCCTTAACCCCTTTAGATGACATCGAGTCCTAATGGCACCGCAAGGCACCGGCACTTACCTATCTCTATGTGTGTGGAGAGGCCGCAGGGTGAGCCTTGGGGGCACAGGGAGCCCAGCGCGATGAGCAGGCCGGGCCACAAGCTGCCCGCGGACATGGCCCCGTTCCTCGCCGCTCTGGGCAACACGATGTGCCTGAAACACAGGCCCAGACCCTGCTTTCCCCCTAAGCGGGTCACTGACACGGGAAGATCCAGCCTCGTTTCCAAATAATAACAACACTCCCCGGTAAACTGTTCAACTACTGTTTAACTTCACCAGAACAGCAAACAAACTCCACACCTGGGGAGGGGGGGAGAGAGAGAGAAAAAGCCATCAACCCAAACCTAAATGTCCTGAGATTGAAGCATTGCCCCTTTCTGACCCAGGAGGCGTCTGGAGTTCTTTCTAACGTGAAATTTGTATGGTGACACGAGTAAAGCTTTTCTCCGAATGTTCTTTGCTTTCTTAAAAAAAAAAAAAAAGAGAGAGAGAGAGAGAGACCCACCTGTCTGTATCGGCAGTCAGCACGCGGGGCCCCCTCCCCTCCCAAGGGCCGAGCTCTCAGGCATCGTTTCCACACACTGATCAGGTGCCCGCGTCCTTGGCCTCCGAAGGCACAAGTGCTGGGAGAGCTTTTACGGCGATCAGCTGGCACCGGCGTCTCTCTCAGTATTTGGCAACAGATACTGACACTCGCACGGGGTTACACAAGAGCAACCACTCCTGCTCTCCCTGCTTCTGGCTGTTTCTGTGGGGCTTATCTCCAGGCTCTTGCACGGTCAGATTCCTGCACCCCAAGAAAAGAAGCCGATTCCATGGGGGCGGGAGACATGGGGCCAATTTAAGACCGGGAAACAAGGATTCAGAAAATGCCAGGCTCCGAATCCACCCGTCATGAAGGGTCTAATCTACAGCACTTAACCCATGGGGGAAATGGGGCGACGCTCTTCATGGGAACGGACGGGATCTTAAAGCGTAGGCTGTGCACGTTATACATGAAGAGCAAGGAAGGAGATCCTAAAAGAGTGGACGGGCACCAGACTCACGCTCAGGTGAGCAAATGGGAGAGAAGAATAGAACGTGGGATAATCTGAGACCCTTAGATGTCTGCCAAGTTTCCTCGGTAACCTCAGCTCCGCCACCGGCACGTCCCAGAGAAAGGAAGCCCACGGCTGTCCCTGGACCGTGAGGCCACTGGGCTGGGCAGCTTCTCACTGCTTTTAGGCCAGAGGCCATGACCTGACGTGATATAACATTACAAAACACACTGACAGGGTGTTTTATAAACCTAGGCCGAGGCTCCCCCTTACTTCGGGTGGGGGTGTGGACGGGGGGTGTGGATGGGTAAAGGGAAGAAATGGAAGATGGAGGTGCCCAGGACATGAGCAGGTGAAGAGGAAAGTCCTGGGCACAGACGGCCTTGTCCTCACCGGCCCTGGTGAGCCAACGCACGTAGCCGGCCCTGGGGGACATCCCAGGCAGCCTAGGGGCAGACAGGAGCTGGGGGGGAGTTGCTCCCACTCTGAACGGGGGCTTGCACAGCACACTAGCCAGAGAGAAGGGGGGTCAACATCATGACTGTCCTAGGCCGTAGGCCTTTTTGCCTTTATGGGCCCATTCCTTCATAAAGATAAAAAAAAAAAAAAAAAAAGGCCAATGCAGGTGTAAAATCGACTTAAGTGTTAATATAAAATAGTCACCCTAAGTTTCCCTTTCCTGATTTTTATAAGAAATAACAGTTTTGAATGCCCCCAAAAGTATCATGGGCCCCAGGCAGTGTGCCTATAGGAGAAGTGAGGGGACACTGTTGAAAACGGAACCTTAAAAAGATAAGCAGACAAACCACAAGAGACTATTTAACATAACAAACAAACAGGGTTGCTGGAGGGGATGGGGGGATGGGCTAAATGGGGGATGGGCATTAAGGAGGGCGCTTTCTGGGATGAGCCCTGGGTGTCATATGTAAGAGATGAAACACTGGATTCTACTCCTGAAGCCAAGACTACACTGCGTGTTAACTAACTGAATTTAAATTTTAAAAAGTTTAAAAGATAACCAGGCTGATTTAGGGTGGAGAGGAAGCCTAACACACTGCCCCCAACCCGACAAGAGCTGTCAGTAGGGCTCCCCCTGCAGGCAGCAGGTGGAAATACACCAGGTCCCCAGTGACACCCACAGGCCAGCCTTCTCCCTTCTAGGGCCTCCTCTCTCCCCAGTTCCTTCAGTAGAACACAGATGCAAATAGCGAATCCACACGCGCGCACGCACACACACACACGCACGCACACGATTAAAATCTGCCGTTCCCACTCCTGGTAGATGTGGCCGACTCAAGACTGAGTGATGTCGACTCAGCAAAAACTTAAGTCAAAAATCTAAAGGACCGCCCGAGCATTTGACAAATAAGAACCCCACGTCCTAGAGAAAAAGATGAAGAGCCCACAGGCTGCGGAAAGGCCAGCAAGCGACTCCACTCGGTAGGAACGGAGGAGGGGAGAGATGCCGAGACTGGTGGCCCGAAGTCCATGCATAGGCTGGGGCTGCCCTTGAACCCACTAATTCCGAAGACAGCCCTATTTTTATTTGCATCCCCGTCAACACGGAGGCTTGCTTCTTCAGGACCTGCATGCTCTTGTCTGCCCGCGACTCCGCCTCGGTTGCTTCGATTCTGACACACGGTCCCACCGACTAGTTGGAGGCCTAACTTGAACTAGCAGTGGCTTGTCCAAGGGCAGGTAGGACTTTGAACGCTGCGCCCGCTTTATTGCAGCAACTCTACTAAGCAATTTTGTTATCTCACGATTTTTTTTTTACCCAAAAAAAAAAAAAAAAAAAAACTGAGGTTAAGTAATTTTTCCAAGGTCATATACCTCGTCGACAACAGACTCAGTTTGGGGCCCAGACGGTCTCCAGAGGCGCGGTTATGGATGGCGAGGGTCCCTGGTCCCAAATCAATGGAGCGAATACGTAAACACACACCCAGAAACGCGTGCAGGCCGCACAGAACCGTCGGCCCAGAGCCCGAGACGAAGAGCAGCGATCCGGCCCCCAGTGGTTGGGGCAACACCCCCAGCGCACCCACGGACCCGTGCGAATTCCGGGGGGGGAGGGGGTGCAGGCGGGGGGGGGGTGACTCGCGGAGGAGGGAGCAGGCGCGCTGCGGGATTCAGGGGCTGAGGAAGAATTACAGGAGGGCACCCGCGGCCGGCAGGTGCACCCCCTGCGAGCCTGCCCAGGCCCGGCCGGGCGCCCCGCGCAGCAGCGCCAAGGGCGCGGGAGAGGGCGCTGCTCCGCGTGCCCGCGGCCCGGGCGCGCCCCCGCCGCCGCCGCCTCGCTCCTGCCGCCGCCCCGACCCTCGCACTCGGGCGCGCGCGCGCTTGCCTGCTTCCTGCCGCCGCCTCCGGGGCCATGGCGACCTGCCTGCGACTGCGGAGCTGCCGGGCCCCGCGCCTCCCGCCCGCGGCCCGCCGCCCGCCGCCCGGCCGCTGGGGGCCCGCCGCGCCCGCGCCCTGCCCGGCGCAGCCCCGCCGCTGTGCCGGGGGCCCGGCCGGCCTGCCCGCGGCGCTGCTGCGCACCGACGGCTTCGTGGGCGGCCGCTGGCTCCCGGCCGCCGCCGCCTTCCCCGTGCACGACCCGGCCAGCGGCGCCGCGCTGGGCTGGGTGGCCGACTGCGGGGTGCCCGAGACCCGCGCCGCAGTGCGCGCCGCCTACGAGGCCTTCCGCAGCTGGAGGGGCGTCTCGGCCAAGGTGGGCGCGCGCGGGGGTCCGGGCTCGCCGCTCCCCGCTCCCGCATGCGCCGGGCAGAGAGGCGTCCGGGGGAGAGCCGAGGGGAGCGGCGCAGAAGTGGGGGCGCCGGCCTGGTCACGAGCACCGGGCGGGGGCGTCGGCCAGCCGGGGGGGGGGGGTGGCAGCGGCCAGGTGGGTGGGGGCAGCGGCCAGGTGAGTGACGTTACATGAGCAGCGAGCAGAGGGTGGGGGAGCAGCCAGAGGGGCCTGGCCGAGGGCGGCGGCCGGGGGCTCGGCCTGGGTGGTCGGCTGTGTGCAGGACCTTTCTCCAGGTCCTGACCTGCACGGGGGGCCCTGCGTCAGCGGGCGTCTCCTGGGTTTGGGGCGGTCGTCTTCACAGGCCCTTCCCTCTCTGCCTGTCGGTGTCCCTACCTTCTAACTGTGGACACCCACCTGTACGACCGCACTGACCCTTGACAGCCTCTTTCAAGACTCTGTTCTGAGATACAGGGGGCGGCGGGGGTACAAAACGGCGCACCCTTCGGGGTGGCCTCCCTGGGGACAGGGGCACCAGCGATCACACCGGGGGCAAGGGACTTCAGCGGGACCCGGATTCCCGGGTCAGGAGCTGTAGATCAGCGAGGCGGGGCCGGGGCGGCTCTGGAGGCCGGGGAGCCACGGGGGGGCGTGCGGGGCCCAGGGCGGGGTGTGGGCCGGGTTTTACCGGGAGGGAGGGGAGGCGCGTCCCAGGGGCTCAGCAGAGCCGCGCTGGTGCGCGTGTGGAAAGGGTGCTCGGGGCACAGCAGCGAGAACGGGCGGAGGAGGGGCGGCGGGGCCCCCAGTGCGCCGGTGGCAGTGACTGAGGCTTGAACCGGCGCAGGGTCCGTTGTGACCGGTAACTGGAGTGACGGCGGGGGGAGGGGCGGGGGTCAGCCAGGACCCCAGGGTTTCTGGCCAGAATACCGGCAGGAAGGAGTGAGCACCGCTGAGAGGGGGAGGCAGGGGCGGGGGGAGGCGGGAGGGTTAGGACCTGGCGTGTAACAGGTGTCCCAGACGCTCTTCCAGCCCCATCTCTGCCTCAGTGGTGGTCCGGAGCCCAGGGCTGGTGCTGGGGCCTCTCAGTGACACAGTCCCCTCGTGTTCACGTCAGCCGCCGACGTCACTGCCCTTGAGCTTGAACGTGGCGTCAGCTTCTCCTCCAGGAGCTCGGGTCTTCTGGAAGAACTTTCCTTCCTGGGAGGATCTCGAGCAGCTTCCTGAGGACGTGGTGGGCTCGCTTCCCTCCGGAGCTCAGAGTCCACCGTCCACCACTCACCCCTACCCAGGCGGGGGATCGGGACTTGAGCCCCGCACGCTCACACAGTTCCTCACAAAGGCCATGGTAGTTTCTGGGAGCTGCCCCACAAGCCTGAGGGTTCAAACAGAAACAGATGGGCTCAGTTCTGTGGGCTGGAAATCCAAAGTCAAAAAAAAGTTCCTTCTTTTTAAAAAATTTTTTTAAATTTTTAAAAATTTTTGAGAGAGAGAGAAAGACAGAGTCCAAGCAGGGGAGGGGCAGAGAGAGAGAGGGAGACACAGAATCCCAAGCAGGCTCCAGGCTCTGAGCTGTCAGCACAGAGCCCGACGTGGGGCTCGAACTCATGAACCATGAGATCATGACCTGAGCTGAAGTTGGATGCTCAACCGACTGAGCCCCCCCCCGGGCACCCCAGCCACATGTCTGTTTTGGGCAGACCCCATCGGCCCATGACACAGACTGTGCATACTGAGGGTGGTTTGTCACCTCCCCACACACACCCCCGCCCCCAGACACCGGGGTTCAGCCCCGACATTGTGTTTTCTGCCAGTCAGCAGAATACACTTTGTATTCCCGCAGTTCTCACGCTGTTTGCTGTTCTCTGGTTCTCTCTCAGGCTGAGTGTGTGCTTTACACCAAGCAGACCATGTACTCAGATATTTGATTGCATTCTCTGAGCCAGGCCCCTGAGAATGTAGTCTTTCGTGTCTCACCCAGAGTAAGCTCTGGCCTCTAGTCGCCAGATTCCTACCTGGTAGAGAACAGGGCTGGCAGGAAACCGTACCTGTGTGTGGTGAAATTATTCATATTTGTGCCGTTCACAGCTTTTTTTCCCCTCTTTTACAATTTATGACTCAGCATATGCCTTTATGTGTAACTTGAAATGGAATCTTACTACTTTTCAAAGAGGGGTCTGTACACCTGAAACTAACTTAATGTTATAGGTGGATTATGCCTCAGTTTAAAAAAAAAAAAAGTCAAGCTGTGTCTCCCCAAGAGTGAGATCACACAGCAACCGTCTGAAGACATATCGAGTTATTTTGTATGATTATCGCTCTTTTTATTTCCTTCCCAGGAAAGGAGTTCATTACTTCGGAAATGGTACGACTTAATGATACAAAATAAGGATGACCTTGCCAAGATAATTACAGCTGAAAGTGTAAGTTCAAGGTCCTAACGTGCAACCCTAAGAAAATGTCCTGGAATTCTCAGGTGAAAGCTTGGGCAAGCCTCTAACCTCAGGGCTGTTGTGTAGCTAAAGAAAATGGGAATTCTTTGCCTAATGATCATATACCAACTAATCCTTTTTTTAATCTTTTTTTAAAATTTTTAATGTTTACTTATTTTTGAGACGGGGGGCAGGGGAGTGCAGAGAGAGAGGGAGACACAGAATCTGAAGCAGCTCCAGGCGCTGAGCTGTCAGCACAGAGCCTGACGTGGGACTTGAACTCACAAACCTTGAGATCATGACCGGAATCCAAGTTGATGCTCAACCGACTGAGCCACCCAGGCACCCCATAGATACCAACGAATGCTTGTGCCCGGCAGCAGCTGTTACTAATGAAGTCAGGCCTTCATCTTTGCTGGAACCATTTGTATGTTCCACGCTTGAGTAACCGAAAGAAACATGGATGGAATTAGAGAGTATTACACGAAGTGAAATAAGTGAAGTAAATCAGTCCAAGAACGACTGATAGACTTTATGATCTCCTCCTATGTGGAATTTAAGAAACAAATGAACAGGGGCGCCTGGGTGGCTTAGTCGGTTAAGCGTCCGACATTCGCTTAGGTCATGATCTTGCTCGTGGGTTCGAGCCCCGTGTCGGGCTCTGTGCTGCCAGCTCAGAGCCTGGAGCCTGTTTCAGTCTGTGACTCCCTCTCTCTCTGACCCTCCCCTGCTCATGGTGTCTCTCTCTCTCTCTCTCCTAGAAATAAATAAAAATAGGGGCGCCTGGGTGGCTTAGTCGGTTAAGCGTCCGACTTTCGCTTAGGTCATGATCTCGCGGTTCGTGGGTTCCAGCCCCGCGTCGGGCTCTGTGCTGACTGCCGGCTCAGAGCCTGGAGCCTGTTTCAGTCTGTGACTCCCTCTCTCTCTGTCCCTCCCCTGCTCACGCTGTCTCTCTCTCTCTCCTAAAAATAAATAAAACATTAAAAAAAATTTTTTTTAAATAAATAAAAATATTTTTAAAAAAAAGAAACAAATTAACAAAGGAGGGAAAAAAGACCAAAAAAGAGGCTCTTAAATACAGAGAACAAACTGTATTGAAGGGGGGTGGGGGTGGGATATAGTGATGCCCATAATATGTCAGAAATGGATTTTGAGTGAAACTGTGAATAATGCTTGCTCACCGTTCCCAATCGTTTCCGTGTGATTGGTACCGTTGATTTTTTTTCATGTTGTTTCTGTACGTTGAAAACGTGCTTGTAGTTTCTCCGCAGCTGTAACAATCACGTTTCACCAGGGTCACACCTCGGGAAGCTGTCAGGAGGAGAAAAAAGGAGGAGACGATAAGACGCACTTGTCGCTGTCAGGGGTGCGAACAGGATTGTGGTTTGGGTGAGGCCCGCTGCTTTCCGTCACCACTTGTGCCTCCGCTTTCAAAGACTCCTGCTGGGGTCACGAATTTCTCAATAACCCGTGGGTTTTGTGACAGGCAGGAGACTTGTCTGCCGTGCGTGCTGCCTGGAAGAACTTGTGTCCTTTTCTCTTCTTTCTAACTTTTTTTAAGTCTATTTATTGATTTTGAAAGAGAGAGCACAAGTGGGGAGGGGCAGAGAGGAGACACAGAACGCTAAGCAGGCTCCATGGTGTCAGCACAGCCCCGATGTGGGGCTCGAACCCACGATCCTGCGAGATCATGACCTGAGCTGAGGTCCGGAGTTGGATGCTTACCCGACCTTGCCCCCGCCCCGGGCGCCCCTGAGTGTGTCCTTTTCCGATCTGATCCAGGGGAAGCCGCTGAAGGAGGCGCAGGGGGAAATCCTCTATTCCGCACTTTTCCTAGAGTGGTTTTCAGAGGAGGCCCGCCGCGTCTACGGAGACGTCATCTGCACCCCCGCCAAGGAGAAGCGGGCGCTGGTGCTCAAGCAGCCCCTCGGCGTGGCCGCGGTCATCACGCCGGTAGGTGGACGGACAGGATGGGCAGGGTCCTGGGGCAGAGATGCAGCCTGTGGGACAGCGGGTTCTTCCCCAGGGGGCCGTGCTCCCGCGGGGGACCGCCACCTGCCCTTGCTTCCTGACCCCTTTGCTGCACCGGGAGGCGTTTCCGGGGTGGGGTGGCCGCCGGGAGGCCTGTTCTAACACCTGCAGAGGTGGGGGGACCACAGCAGGCCCAGCGGCTGTTCTGACGCGGCGCCTCTAGCGTGTCTGAAACGTCTTTTTTTTTTTTCTAACGACAAGCTGTGACACATTGAACGTGCCGTGGTTTGGGGACAGTTTTATGCTGAATTTATGGTTATCATCAACAGGACAGTGTTTGTGAGCAGGGGGCCGGGGCCGGGGGTGAAATTGCTGAGTGTGCCTGGGCAGAGCTGCAACTCGCTGGTGGGGCACCCGGCCCCCTCTGGGCCACCAGCGTTTGGGGGACCTCAGCTCATCTAAAGCGCCAGCTGGTCCCGGGACTGCTTGCTTTCCTGCGGCAGCAGAGTCCCAGACGCCCCCCCTCCCCCAGCCCTTACTGCCTACACTGACCCTGTGTGACTCAGAACTAGATGTTCACAAGCTGTGTGACCTTGGGCAACTTACTTAACGTCCCCGTGTCAGTTTCCCCAGCTGATGTCCTCGGTATTCGCCAGTATAATAATACTGACCTCCGTGGGCTGGGCTGAGGGTTTAATTGTAATTTAAAAGTGCTTACAACAGTGCGGGGCACAGAATAAGGACTAGGCAAGGATTTGTCAAAATAAAATAGTTAAAATAGACAGGGAGAGGCCGACAAACATCGATCTATGGAGAGAAGGAAGTAAGAAATCACCTGCCATTTGGAACATCACCTTTGCTAATGTTTTCTCCTAGAGGGTCAGGCAACTCCGGCTCTCAGGCCTCCCCCCGCCGCGCTGCCTGTGTTTGGGAATAGAGCTTTATGGGGACACAGCCAGGCCCATCCCTGCACATACTGTCTGTGGCTGCCTCCACATTAGAACCACGGAGTACTTGCCACGGAAGCTGTATGTCCCGTACAGAACCCGGCCCTTTACAGAAAAAGTTTGCCGCGTCCGGGCGTGGATACTCTCGGACTGCTTTACGTTCTGAAAGTGTTTCCTGTCCTGGCGAGCCTTCGTCCCCAGAGTCCCCTGGGGAGACGGCTGTCAGGTGTTCTGAGAGCTCACCAGGGCACGAGGAGCCGGAGCACTGCTTCGAGAGTCAGCGTGTGCAGGGCCGTCCGCCGACTGACTTGCTGACCTGCCTGCCTGCGGACGGCGGGGCGGCCCCGCGTCTCACGTCTCCCCTCTGCGCTTCCGCCCGCAGTGGAATTTCCCCAGCGCCATGATCACCCGGAAGGTGGGGGCCGCCCTGGCCGCCGGCTGCACGGTGGTGGTGAAGCCGGCCGAACACACACCCTTCTCCGCCCTGGCCCTGGCCGAGGTGAGCCTCCCCGGCGTCCGCGCAGAGCGGCCGAGTCCAGCAGCCTCCCCCTTCAGCTGCATCTCATGCTGGATGGTGTTGGGGTTTAACTGACTAGCAGTTAGTTTAAGTCTGATGTTTGAGAAAAAACACTGGAGGGGGACTTTCTGACATCTGTACACAACATATGATCTAGGCTGCACTAAAGACGGTATCTGTCCGGGTGCCTGGGGGCTCAGTTGGTTAAGCCTCTGGCTCTTGGTTTTGGCTCAGGTCATGATTTCATGCTTCATGGGTTCGAGCCCCACATCAGGCTCTGCACTTACGGTATGGAGCCTGCGTGGGATTCTCTCTTGCGCTCTGTTCGTCTTCATTTGTGCTCTCTCTGAAAATAAATAAACTTTTACAAAAAGGGTGGGGGGCACCTGGGTGGCTCAGTCGGTTAAGCATCCAACTCTTGGTTTCGACTCAGGTCATGATCTCATCGTTCATGGGTTTGAGGCTGGCATCGGGCTCTGCACTTATGTTATGGAGCCTGCTTGGGATTCTCTCTCTTTTTCTCTGTCTCTCTCCACTTGTGGGTGCTCTCTCTCTCTCAAAATAAATAAACTTTTACAAAAATTGGGGGGGGAGGGACCTGGGTGGCTCGATCGGTTAAGTGTACGACTCTTGATTCTGGCTCAGGTCATGATCTCTCTGTTCACAAGTTCTGGCCCCGCGTCAGGCTTTGGATTCGGAGCCTGCTTGGGATTCTGTCTCCTGTCCTCCTCCCTCTCAGCCCTCCCCTGCTCTCTCTCTCTCTCTCTCAAAATAACATTTTTTTAAGAAGATTAAAAAATAGTATGTGTCCATCACTTGTACTAAGCAAGGAGGCACATGCCTGAAATGTGGGCATTTCTCACATCTAGGGGATCTCGTACCTACCTCTGCCTTCTCCAGTTCACTCCGCATTCCGTCAGATCTCGCCATTCGTCTGTTTAAAACCCTCCAGTGGCGGGGCGCCTGGGTGGCTCAGTCGGTTAAGCAGCTGACTTTGGCTCAGGTCATGATCTCACGGTTCGAGGGTTCAAGCCCTGTGTCAGACTCTGTGCTGACAGCTCAGAGCCTGGAGCTGCTTCAGGTTCTGTGTCTCCCTCTCTCTCTCTCTCTCTCTCTCACAGACATAAACATTAAAAAGAATTTTTTTTTTAGGAATATCTTCTTCACCTTCTGTTTTCTGTAAAGGGATTATCCGTTAGGTTGTTGTGGAGTTCCTTTTGGTTTCCTTTTCATCTAAAATTAGTTTTTCCTTGTATTTCTAATTTTCTTATGTCCCCTTACCTCATTTCCAAACTTTCTCTAAGTTTAACGGAGATAGTTGTTTTCTATCTCATTATAATTTTAAAAATATTTTTTTAACTTCATAGTAAATTATAGTGTTGATCTGCTTGTGGGCACATCTTTCTGGAATGCTCTTGGTGAAGAGGATGCTTTTTGTGCCTGGTGCTTTTTTTTTTCTTTTAATACTGTTGTATGGGATTTGACTTGGATATTTTGCTGAGCATTTATTTTTATATGAAGTTAGTTTTCCTAAGGTTTTATTTTTTTTTTTTTTAAGTTTATTATTTGGTGGGGGGACAGGAGGGGAGGGGCCGGGGGAGGGGCTCCCAAGCCGACTGAGCTGTCGGCCCAGAGCCCGACGCAGGGCTTGAACCCAGTGGGGACCGTGAGATTATGACCTGAGCTGAAGTCTGATGCCTAACCGACCGTGCTCCCCGGCGCCCCTCGTTTCCCTCAACTTTTCCAACTCCACAAGCACTTCTGGGTTTTCACCCGGAGATTCCCTGGCCGCGCCCCTTCCCCGCGGTAACGGGGCCTCCTCCCCCCGATCCCGGGGCGCCCGTCGGGCCGCCTCTGGGCCGCACCTGCTACTGCGCGGTCAGCGGCCGCGCCGGGGGGGTGGGGGGGCCCGGCCCACGTCCCCGGGGCGCCGCCTGGGCTCCCCCGGGCCCTGCCCCGCACACGGCTTCGGTCGCGGCTGCTCCCCAGGGTGCCCAGGCTCCCAGCCGTCGGCGTCCACACCCCCTGGCCAGGCCGGCTTCCCCCGCGACACGCGGGCAGCGCCACCAGCGGCCGGTCCGGCGGCGGGGCGGCCACGTGGGGCCCGCACAGCACCCGACCGTCCCGTGCGCACCCGGGACCCGATCTCGGGGTCTGCAACGCTTTGGCTGTGTCGTTGCCCTGTCGGGGTTTATGAGGGGGTCAGAGAGGGGGCGACACCCCGCTGTTCCCACCGGCTTCCCAGAGCCCCAGTCAGCGTCGTGCGTGTTAGCTGCTGCTGAGATTCGAGGTTACCGTAATTCCAGAACGTACTGCGGTTCCTGATACGGCGGGCGCCGGGAGGGTCGGTGCGGAAAGGGCGTGGGGTCCGGGCGCAGGCGGTGGTGGCTCAGGCGCTGGCTGCCTTCCCCCTGGGGGGCCCCCCGGGCGTGGCTCCGCGGTCCCCGCCGCTGCCCCAGGAGGTCACCTGCGGGCACATCTGCCCCCTGCCGGTCGTCTGCGGGTGAGCCCCGAACTTCGTGAACTCTCTTCCCAGTTTCCTCAGGAAAAAAATCCAAGGGGCTTGTTTTGTTTTTTAATTTTCTGTTTTTTTTAAAAAAAAAAATTATTTATTTTTAAATGTTTTATTTATTTCTAGGAGAGAGAGAAAGAGAGACAGCGTGAGCAGGGGAGGGTCAGAGAGAGAGGGAGGCACAGACAGAAACAGGCTCCAGGCTCCGAGCTGGCAGTCAGCACAGAGCCCGACGCGGGGCTCGAACCCACGAACCGCGAGATCATGACCTGAGCGAAAGTCGGACGCTTAACCGACTAAGCCACCCAGGCGCCCCTGTTTTTTTTTTTTTTTTTTTTCCAAATAGAAAGTGGCATGAAAACTCATGCTGTAAAATAGCTCAGTGTGTGACCACACACTTAATATCACCCTTGCACCAATAACATCCCATTTCAGGTCCAAATATATTCTTATCCTGTCCCCAAGGGCAACTTAGTAAAACCCGCAGCGCGTTGGACGCTAACGCCTTTCTCTTTTCCTGTGTCCCGGCTGGGCTCGTGCTGCCCCCTGGCGGCTGCGTCTGTAGCTCGCCGACCAGGCTGGGATTCCTGCCGGCGTGTACAACGTCGTTCCCTGCTCCAGAACGAAGGCCAAGGAAGTGGGGGAAGCCCTTTGTACTGACCCTCTGGTGTCCAAAATCTCCTTTACCGGCTCGACAGCTACCGGAAAGGTACGCGACTTACGTCTCCGAGAAAACAGGTGTCATTCTCATATTTTCCCCGGAGAGTGTGTGAAAATACTAGTTCATCGTTATCACCCTTTTAAGGAACATTCGCAGCGGAGTGTTGAAAGGTTAGTTGCATAAAGTGACGTCTGATCATCCTCTGGAGGGGTTGGGGTGGGCTCCCTCAGTGACCTGACGCGGGCTGCTGACCATACCGAGGGGCCGGCAGAGCGGGAGCTCCCAGGATTTGTCCCGTGGAAAGCAGCTAAAAGCCATCATCCGTTGTATTTCTTCAGCTCTCGGATGCATGTTTCTTTCATGATCTAGAATTAAAGTTTTCAGAAACACACAACTGGTGTTGGAATGAATGTCTTGGAATTGAACAAAAATTGTATTTAGTACAACCTTAGTAGAAAGGTCCTTAGAGAAATAGAAGGGTCTTTTTGTTCATTTCCTTAAAAAGCTTTACACCCGTGCACTGTTCCACAAATTTATACTGAGAATAAATGCAGTGCTATTTTCAATAACAAGGAATTAGGAACCTAAATTTCCAGCAGATGGGGGCTGAATGAATAAATTTATGGAACAGCCACTGAGCGTCCGACTTTAGCTCAGGTCATGATCGCACTGTTTGTGAGTTTGAGCCCCACAATGCACTTGCTGCTGTCAGCTCAGAGCCTGCTTCAGATTCTCTGTCCCCCTCTCTCTGCCCCTCCCCTGCTTGTGCTCTCCCAAAAATAAATATTAAAAAAATAATAAAGGAATTTTCTAGAAACACATGTGCTGACATCAGAGAATCTTCACATTATAATGTTTATATTATAATGTAATTATAAGATTACAAAACTCTAAATCTACCATTCTGTTTCCTTCAAAAAAAAAAAAAGAACATATACATAAACCTGTGTGGCTAAATTCTGGATCAATATACCTCAAAATTTTATCAGTGGTAAGCTATAGGCTGTGAGATTCTGGGAGATTTTATTACCTGCCCTTTTTATGATTATGCCAATTATCACATAATTTTATTGTTTTAAATGTTTATTTTTGAGAGAGAGGGAGAGAGACAGAGCATGAGCGGGGGAGGGCAGAAAGAGAGGGAGACACAGAATCTGAAGCAGGCACCAGGCTCTGGGCTGTCAGCACAGAGCGCAATGAGGGGCTTGAACTCAGAAGCACTGAGATCATGACCTGACCTTAAGTCGGCCACTTAGCCGACTGAGCCACCCAGGCGCCCCATCACATAATTTTTTAATAGATAATACACTTACATGGTTCAAGAAGCCAGACGATGTAAACATGCTCACGTTCAGAAGGCTCCCTCCTGCCCGACTCTCTTCCTTCTGTAAGTAACTACTCTGTTTCTTATTACCTTCCTACTGTGTCTTTATCAGAGATATATATTCTCTTTTTTTAAGGTTATTTATTTTTGAGAGTGAGAGAGAATGTGTGAGCATGAGTGGGAGAGGAGCAGAGAGAGAGGGAGAGAGAGAATCCCAAACGGGTTCTGCGCTGTCAGCACAGAGCCTGATGCAGGGCTCAATCCCAGGCGCTGTGAGACCTGAGCCAAAATAAGAGTCGACGCTTAACCGGCTGAGCCCCCCAGGCGCCCCTCGAAATTGATGTTCTTATTTCCTCCCTGTCTTGCGCACACTGTTGTCCCACATACACTGCCGCGCACCTGGCTTTTTCACTGCTGGGGAGGCGTCGGAAACGAAGGCTTACCGCCGCCCGCGGCTGGCAGCTGACCCTGCCCGGCGCTCACGGATCCGTGCTCTGTTGCAGGTACTGCTGCACCACGCGGCCGGCTCTGTGAAGAGGGTCTCCATGGAGCTGGGCGGCCACGCTCCGTTCATCGTGTTCGACAGCGCCGACGTGGACCGGGCTGTGGCAGGAGCGATGGCATCCAAATTTAGGAACTCTGGGCAGGTGAGTCCTGCGGTGATTTTCAGGGTGTGTGTGTGTGTGTTTCACAAAGATCTTACCACCTCACTCACCTCCTGGGCGCAAACCTGTAGGTTCCATCCATCATTCTTTCCTTACTCTATCGGCGCTTATTTCCTAAGTTCCTCTTTTCGCCAGTGCCTGTTCTGGGCTCAGAGGGTCCAAAAGGAAATGAGGTGTAATCTCTATCTTCGAGGGATTTCACGAACAGCAGATTTTTTTTTTAAATCAAATTGTTCTCTTCTTCTTCCTACTCTTTGAATCTGATTATCTTCACAGTTTTCCCTCCCTGGGCTTTTCTCTGCTGAACAGGTAGAGTCATCTCCTCAGACACAAAACAGCCTGAACAGCTGGGGTCTGAGGCCCACAGTCTTAAGAAAAAGAAGGTAGGAAAATGTTGAGATGGTTCTTGAAAACCTCAAAACTCTGTAGCCTGGGTTGGGGCGCCTGGGTGGCTTAGTCGGTTAGGCGTCCGACTTTCGCTTAGGTCGTGATCTCGCGGTTCGTGGGTTCGAGCCCCGCGTCGGGCTCTGTGCTGACTGCCAGCTCAGAGCCTGGAGCCTGTTTCAGTCTGTGACTCCCTCTCTCTCTGACCCTCCCCTGCTCACGCTGTCTCTCTCTCTCCTAGAAATAAACAAAACAAAACAAAAAAAAAAAACCTCTGTAGCCTGGGTCTCACTGTCCCTGAGATGGAGGCAGCTTGATAGGCACACAGTACAGTGTGCGCAGGGGGTGTCGAGGTTGACCCACTGTCACAGGGAGAGCAGCGGCCTGAGTCCACACCTCCCCAGGATATCTTGGAATATCACGTCTGGCATGGACCTTCCAAGTGACCTGATACAAACCTTGCATTTTATAGACGAGGCAGTGAAACTTCGGAGAGACTATTTGGCTTGAAGGCCTACATCCTTGGGGCATAGTCTCAGTACTGCTGAGGAGGGGGGCACCTGAGTGGCTCAGTCGGTTGAGCGTCCGACTTCGACTCAGGTCATGATCTCACGGTCTGTGGGTTCGAGCCCTGCGTTGGGCTCTGTGCTGACAGCTCAGAGCCTGGAGCCTGCTTTGGATTCTGTGTCTCCTTCTCCCTCTACCCCTCCCCTGTTCGCACTCTGTCTCTGTCTCTCAATAATAAATAAATGTAAAAAAAAAAAAATACTGCTGACGAGGGACTGTGGACCAAGAGCCTTGTCTCCTGGTTTCTCTCCAAGCTGTTGCCAGAAACCTGGCTCCTTACAAAATATACTGTGTCTCAGAGTCCAATCAGTAAGTGGTTTTACTTTTTATTTTTTAAGTTTATTTATTTTAAGAGAACTCATGTGAGCAGGGGAGGGGCAGAGAGAGAGGGAGAGAGAGAATCCCAAGCAGGCTCCATGCTGGCAGCGTGGAACACAACCTGGGGCTCGATCCCATGATACATGATCATGACCTGAGCTGAAATCAAGAGTTAGACACTCAACAGACTGAGCCACCCAAGTGCCCCAATAAGTGGTTTTAAATGCATTCCAGAGACAAAATAAACACTCCTGAAAGGTTATATTCTGGAGAGAAAAAAGTGAAATGTTGTATAATACTCTTTATCAAACAGTTTTCATCCTTGTGTTAACCTTTGGTAATTAATTTTTCCCCTTTCATATAAGCTTAAATAAGCTTGGTGGTTTCAGAAATACCTATGTTTCCTTTTAGAAACAAAATGCCAATGTGTGTAACCTTTAGAGTTATACTTATAAAGCCTCAATTTTGAGGTATGTTGATTTAAGCCAGTAAAAATGCATTGTATATAATTCTCTCTATATGTATGTAGATATATATAGATATAGGTAGATAGTTTCAACTAGAAAATACATGATTAAGAAAAACATACAAGAAGAAAACCTATCAGTGATAACTAATTCCTATAATGTGGTTGTATTTTATAATTTTAAAATATTAGGTCTAATTAGAAAAAAATAAGCAAAGGTCTTTTCAATAATTTAGGCTGACATGTAAGAATGGTCTTGTGGCCATTTTCAAAATGTCAGATTCAGCCAGACCTTTGAATAGTTTAATAAGCTGGTGGGTAGAAGTCAACCTTTGACTACCTTCCTTCCTGCTCCCGCTCTATTGCTGCAGCATCACTATCTCTTATGGAGTTACCATTTTTTTATGCTCATTTTTTCTTTCCCTGTTTATTTCATAATGGCTTACTTAACCCTTTGGAAAAAACTTGGGTCAGGTGGCTTTCTCTTTTTTGCATCGATGTTTGTAATTGCTTACTTGTTTAATTAACCTCAAGGTAAGGCGGCTATGGAGGAGGTTGGAGAAGATTAAGCACTTTGTGCATTTGTCTCCAGGGCACCACCCACATGGGGAGGAACATGGCAGGTTGGACACAGAACAAGAGCCACCTGGGGAAGTGTTTTCACATTCAGAGTATCTGATAGCAGCAGTGACACATTCACTGGTTGGGTCAGTAGCTTCTGACAAACGGTTTCGTGAGGGGTTTTTTTTGTTTCTCTCTCTAGACTTGTGTTTGCTCAAACCGTTTCTTGGTGCAAAGGGGTATCCACGATTCCTTTGTGAAGAAATTTGCTGAGGCAATGAAAACAAATCTGCGTGTGGGTAATGGATTTGAGGAGACGACTACTCAAGGCCCATTAATTGATGAAAAGGCAGTAGAAAAGGTAAGTTCATTTGCTTTTCTGTTAAAGTAAATTTCATGGTTTCAATGTCAAAAACTTTAACTAGCAAAAAAAAAAAAAAAAAACACATCAGTAAGGTGCCCAGCAAAGCTGTTTTGGAAACAATGGAGAAATCAGAAAGAAGTGAATTTCTGCCTCTTTGTATGAATCAAGTAGCATCATCTGGCTATAAGCTTTTCTGGCCATCATTACACCGAGTGCTTGTGAGATCTGTCACTTTATTTATTTTTAACGTTTACTTTTGAGAGAGAGAGAGAGTACATGTGCATGCACATGTTGATGAGGGGCAGAGAGAGAGGGAGACTCAAAATCCAAAGCAGGCTCCAACCTCTGAGCTGTCAGCACAGAGCCCAATGCAGGGTTCGAACTCAAACTATGAGATAATGATGTGATCCAAAGTTGGACGCTTAACCGACTGAGCCACCCAGGTGTCCTGAGATCTATCACTTTAGAACCTCTACTGCCCTTCCTAAATTTTCTCAGATAGTGGTGATCATTCTGTCCCTGGCTGCCTTGGGAATTAGGATCTTGAAAGACAAAGCTCTTTAATTTTTTGAACAGCTAAAAGGAAAGGAAGACTGGTTTTGTTTTTGAAATCATGGGTGTTTCAGCTGAAATGCTGGCTTCCACTGACGACAAAATGCCCTTCCAGAAGAATCCTTGACAAAAGCATCTGATAGGGAGGCAAAGAAGAACAGAAGCCGCAGCCAGGATTCACAGATGCCAGGAGAGGGAGACTGCTTTTAGGGAGGATCTGTTTGTTCAAAGAAAGTCACAGTCTGGATAGACCACTAGCTGAGTGAGAGTTCCGTCCTTGGTGTTTTAAAAGAGAATCTCCTGTTTTAAAACATAATCCTTTTAAATAAAGAAGATGTACTACATATACATTGTATGTACTACATATACAGTAACACATTACTCAGCCATTAAAAACAAATTAAATCTTGCCATTTGCAACAACATGGATGGATGGGTCTAGATGTGAAGTCAGTCAGTCAGAAAAAGACAAATACCAGATCAATCATATGTGGAATTTAAGCAACAAAACAAAAAAGAAATGACACAAACAAGAAAAATGGGACCTTTAACCACAGAGAACACACTGGTGGTCACCAGCGGCGGGGAGGGGCTGGGTGAAATGGGTGATAGGGATTTAAGAATACACTGATCATGATGAGCGCTGGCTGATGTACGGAACTGCTGAATCACTATATTGTACACCAGAAACCACTAGAACATCATATGTTAACTACCCTGGAATTAAATAAATAAAGGGGAAAACCTTATCCTTTTCAGAGTTACTTACATGGAACTTTCTTGTAATGTGAACATCCAATATGCTCTTTCGATACGTCTCTATTAATAGAAAGGATTTTAATGGAATAATTTAAATTGGACAGAAAATGGAGGCTGGAGATTGATGGACGGGAAAGAAGGAAGGAGAGGTGGCCCCAAAGGGCAGCATAGCTGGCCTTCTGGGTGTCACCTATGGAGCCACAATTAAGGTAGACCCAGGTCAGTAACCAGACCCAGAGTGGGGTCGGGTCAGCTGAACCCACATCTGTTGCCTCGTCCCGTGGGAGCCAGGGAAGCACTGAGGTTTGGCAGAGCATCTAGTTATTGCCTTGGTGTCGCCTTAATAGAGAACATGCATTAAAGTGTGCGTTGGTAGCACCGTCAGTTTTGATGTGACTTTGGACCCAGTGCCTTGATTGCCAGTGGAGACAATTTGAGTCTGAACTAACTGGTTCAAGGCTCAGAGTTCAAGGGTTCTTAACCCTTCCTGTGCCCTTTACAACCGCAGGTGCCAGAGTCCTTCCCAAGGAGACGGGGTGTGAACAGGGCCTCAGCACCAATGGGTCTTCACGCTCCTGCCATTGTTATCTTCCTGCCTGGGAGCCTGCTGCCCTAGAGATGTTGGCATTGCTGCCAACGTGAAGGTGCAACCATTGGCCTCCAGAGGGCGCTGTGTCTCCGACCTCGAGCAAGGAAAATAAAGGATTTCTTTTTCAGAGAGTTTAGGAGAAAACACCTCATCTGCAAAAATTTGTTGTGCCTGCTTTAGTACAGCCACAGTCACGGGGTAAATTCCAGGGCAGGGTAGACTGCACATGACATGAAATATGACCGGAAAACGGCAGAGCCCACTTTGAGGGCAAAGAGGTGGACCTTGTTAAATATAATTCGTTTTCGAGCTATAAATCATGGGAGGGAAGCCATTACGGCTAATGGGGGTGTGTTGCCGACAGCGGCCTCTGAGAGCGTGGTCGGGGGCTAGGGCTTAAAAAGGGTGGGTCTGGATGGTAGAATGTGCCCCAGCCCGTATCTCCCTTTCCTGAAATCCCATGGACTATTCTGCTGAGAATAGGAGTGGGGAGGACTCCAGACCAAAGGTGGTGGAGAACTTCTGGAAGGAGGAAGGGATGGTGCTAACAGAAAAGTCAAAACAGACAAGGCATTCCCAGGGCAAGTCTGTAGGGGAAGCGGGTGCCATTTTTTAGGATGGACCTTTCTAGAAGTGGCTGGGGTAGGGATGGGAGCAGGGAAACATGGTGCCAACTGATTAGACTTCTGTAGAGTGTTCTGGGCCATCCCTACACCTCCGCTCCTCACAGCCACCACCGGGACAGCAAGGCGTTTGCTCTGGCCAGGACATGGGCTACGGGCTCCCCTTCAAGGGGGAGGCTGATGTGCCTTTGCCCTCTGGGAAAGGGGGCGGTCCCTAACGTGAAGCCTGCCAAGTCAGAATCAGCCTGAGCTTGCCGTTACCCACCTTGTTCAGCGGAGAGACTGGAAACTGTAGAGGCCACCCAAGTCACCAGTCCTTCATGAGGAAGGGGAGCAGCCAGGAATCGCGACACCTTTGGGGCAAACCCTCGGCAATTAGAGGCACAGCTGACCCTCAAGGAAGCAGATGAGTCTGGGAACAGAAAGGAATTTTCTGAGAATCTCATAGCGTCCTCCACGTGTTTCTGAGAAGATAGTGCATTCATAAAATCAAAGCAGGTTCTATGAAAATGAGGCAGTGAGGAGAGTTTTCAGAAATTGAACACGTGATGGTCAAATCTTTCTAAAACATTAGTAGATGAAGACAGAAGGCAAAACCAAGGAGAATTTAAAGCAAAAGACAGAGATGAGAGGCAGCTGGCTGGTTCAGTCTGCAGAGCATGTGACTCTTGATCTTGGGGTCGCGAGTACATGGCCCATGGTCATGAGTTCGAGCCTCATGTTGGGTATTTATTTACGTAATAAATAAAAGGTTTTTTTTAAAGCAAAGAGATGAGAAATATGACAGAAATTGGAAAAGACATCAGAATCTGAGGTGACATTTTAGCTGTAAGAACTTAGAAAGAACGGACATGGAAGAAGTAGCATTATCCAGTAAATGAGAGATGAGAACTCAGAGTCAGGGGAAAGTGATTCTTCAGATGGAAAGACTTTACCAACTGCCAAGTGGAATGAAAGCAGAAAGTGCAGAGATGTTCTGCTAAAACAGTGGAATGTCAAGAACACAGAAGATCCTAAAAGCACCCAGGGACGGGGGGAAAGCTACCCGCCAAGGAGTGAGCACTATTTTTGAAGCTGACTTTTCAACAGCACTAGAAATAGAGACATGTAGTTAGCATTCTGAAGGAAAACGGTTTGGGATGACAATTCCACCACCAACCAGCACAAGGTAAAAACATCAGACACGCAGGCCGCTCTTCGTGCCCACGGGCCCTGTCGCCGTGCTTTCATAAAACCACCTTTATTGCACCAAAAACCAAAACAAACCATGAGACACAAAGGGTCAGGAAGCACAGGAAGCACGCCATTTTTGGCACACCTTTTTCAAAACAACCACTTGAGGAGAATGTAGTAGAACAAAATGAAGGTGAGGAGGAGATCATGGCACCCAGGAATCTGGAGCCAACTCAAGCGTGTGAGAACAGGGGTGCCCGGGGGGCTCAGTCTGCTAAGCGTCCGAGTCTTTGTTTTGGCTCAGGTCCTGATCTCACAGTTCATGGGTTCGAGCCCCACGTTGCTGGACTCTGCGCTCACAGTGAGGGGCCTGCTTGGAATTCGCTCGCTCTCTCTCTCTCTCTACCACTCTACCTGTCCCCTGCTCTCTCTCTCTCTCAAAAAAAAAAAAAAAAAGCGCAAAGAACAAATCCCAGGAAAACTTCAGGGTGTCAGGCCCAGGAGGACATTCAGGCCATACTAGACCCGTCACCAAACGAAGGACAGAACAGTGGAAAACCAAAGGGCAGGGAAGGCGGCGCCGCACACGCCACGTGCTCTCTTCCTGCCTGCGTCTCCCCAGAAGGTGTATCCTCTCCAGCGGATCTTCAAGCCCCCTGTCCCGGGCTCTTCTCTTCACACAGGTAGAGAAACACGTGAATGACGCAGTTTCCAAAGGTGCTACCGTTGTGACAGGCGGGAAGCGACACCAACTTGGAAAAAACTTCTTTGAGCCCACGCTGCTCAGCAATGTCACCCAGGACATGCTCTGCTCTCACGAGGAGACGTTTGGGCCTCTGGCACCAGTTATCAAGTAAGACCACCCAGCGGGAGGGTGAGGGAGGAGGGACACCTAGAAAGGAACGCGGTTCGAGTGCCGTTTCAAGGCCCTGGGGCTGGGAGGCAGGGCTGTGCTGTGTCAGAAGAGTCAAGTCCCATTCATGGTTCAAAAGTAATTTGTTTTATCGTTGTCTGTGGAGACCACAGAATTCAGCAGCTTCTTTACTCTGCCTTCTTACTGGGTCATTTTTCTTCTCCTTGGAGCACGTCCTCAAGGAGTTCTTTCAAAAGCTGTGCTCTTGGGTGATCTTTTATCTCACGTTCAAAAGTCAGTAATAATTAACCTGGATAAGCTTCTAGGTTCAACACTGTATCAGCCCTCTGTCTCCTTATTTCTGGAGTCATTGCCGAGAAAGTTGGTGTCTGGCTCTTGTTCCTTTGTTGGTGGTGTTTTTAATGTTTATTTATTTTTGAGAGAGAGAGAGAGAGAAGGGGGGGAGGGGCAGAGAGAGAGGGAGACACAGAATCCGAAGCAGGTTCCAGGCTCTGAGCTGTCAGCACAGAGCCCGACGCGGGGCCCGAACCCACGAACCGTGAGATCATGACCTGAGCGAAGTCGGACGCTTAACCGAAAGAGCCCCCCAGGTGCCCCTGGCTCTTATTCCTTTGAAAAGAATCTAGTTTTTCTTTTCTGGAGACTATCAAGCCTTCTCATGGCCTTTGATGTTCTTAAGCTTTCCTGGTGAGGCAGTCGGGAGCGTCACCAGGCCACGGTCCTGTCTTCCTTCAGTGTCTGACGTGTGCGTAGTCCCGGAAAATTGCTGGTCGTTGTTTCTCCGGATATTTCTCTCCCCTCATCTGTTCTGGACCAGGCTTCTAGGAGGTCTGTGATGGGGCCGCGTCTGCGTCACCCCACTCCTCTTCCCCTCCATCCATTCCGACGCCTTCTGAGCCCCCCCTCCCCCCCCCGCTAAGCCGTCCGTTGCTGAGATGCGGCCCGTGCAGCCCAGCCCCCGCCGCGTCCCTCCGTTCGCTCCGTCACACTCGCTATCTCCAGCCCTTTGTTGGTCCCCCTAACGGGGCCCCCCATTTCCTCACTTTCCCTTTGCTGTGGACGCTCTCCCTTTCTTGCATGTTATTCTGTCCCCCTGTCGCCGCCTCCTGGCTCGTAGCTCATTCTGTTTGTTACCCTCCTGCGTCTCGGAGCATCTCCACTGATGCCCTGTCACCTTCTCTGGGACCTGTCTCCAGCCCCTCCGCCTCTTGGCGGCCTCTCCGGGCAGGGTCTCCCTTGGGGTCGCCGTGAAAGGCTTAGACCTTCTGCTGTGCTGCTTCTGATACATTTGAGCCTCAGGAGGGAAGCTTCTAGTATTAAAATACAGCCTCAACACTACCGCCCGGGCCCCAGGGGCATTTTTGTGGTGACCTCTGGAGGCACGGAGGGGTTCGAGGGAAGAGGCCTCTGGTCCGTGCCGCTGTCTACACTTGTCACGGGTGAGTCCCCAGCCTAGCTCCAGCGCTGCCTGGGCCCCGCACCCTGAGCTGGCTGGCCCTGCCACGTAGCTCCGGCCGGCGGGCCAGGTCTGTGGGCAGCAGCACCTGACTCCACAGCGCCGCCTCTCGCAGCCTCCACAGAGCGGCTCGTCCCCCCCCCGGCCATGCGGGGCCCTGAGCTCTCCCTGCGCGCCCCCCCCACCCCCCCCGGGAAACCACGGTTCCCTCAGGATCCAACCACCTTCCCGGCTTCCAGAAGTGTCTTGTGTTTTTGGTGTTAGTTGCTGATGGCGGGTTTCTGAGCTAAGCTGCTGTCTCGCTGTCTCTGTCTCTCTCTCTGTCCCCGCTCCGGCACCTCCAGCATCAAGTTCCCAGGGAGTGCCGGCCCGGGGCACTACCTCTGCCTCTTGTCCGGGACAGAGGCCTCCTTTATCACTCGCTTTCCCAGCTTCGTTACGTGTTAGCCCACCACTGAGGAAATGGACCACTCCGAGAGCTGTCATCTTCTCTGTCTTAATACAAGGTTTTCTTGGGGCGCCTGGGTGGCTTAGTCGGTTAAGTGTCTGACTTTCGCTTAGGTCATGATCTCGCGGTTCGTGGGATCGGGCCCCGCGTCGGGCTCTGTGCTGACTGCCAGCTCAGAGCCTGGAGCCTATTTCAGAGTCTGTATCTCCCTCTCTCTCTGACCCTCCCCTGTGCACGCTGTCTCTCTCTCTCTCTCTCTCTCCTAGAAATAAATAAAAATATTTAAAAAAAAAAAAATACAAGGTTTTCTTTAAATCTAGAACGCGAACTTGACGTTTTCACGGAGCCTAAAGGAAGCAGTGGTTAGGAATGCAGGCTTTGGAGTTGAACTGGGTGTAGATTCAGGCTTTGCTGCTTCATATGTGTGAGCTCTCGGATGGACTGACTTTTCTGAGCCCTCGAGTCCCCGTGCGGGGAAGGGATAGAACCTAGGACCTGCTTCGCAGAGTAGTTACAGGGTTTGAACGACATACGTGCATAAAGCACTTGCATGGCGCCTGATGTCCTCATCATGGCTGTTAGGGTGGGGAGGGGGTGTTACTAGCAGGCTCTGGTCTTCGCACACCTCCCCTCGGGGCACACAGCGCGCAACGGAACGTGGAAACTCCCAGTGATGCCTCCGTCGGTGATGCAGTTGCTTTGTTTTTGAGGGGCAGGCGGGCGGTGGGGACAGACACGCCCCATTCTGTTCTCTGGTGAGCAGAATGGCCTGCTGCCTGTCTGCAAGCAGACAAGCCAGGAGTCACAGCTGTTCATCCTCGGGACAAGTGATCCTCCTGGGCCTCCCCCCCCCAGAGCCTGTATAGACAGGATTCCCCAGGTGGCCAAGCCAGCTCTGCCTGCTGCCTTCAGAGAAATCTCTGAATTTAAGAATTGGGTGTTCAAAGGGGCACCTGGGTGGCTCAATCAGTTAAGTATCCAACTTCGGCTCAGGTCATGATCTCGTGGTTTGTGGATTTGAGCCCCGCGTCGGGCTCTGTGCTGACAGCTCAGAGCCTGGAGCCTGTTTCAGATTCTGTGGCTCCCTCTCTCTCTGACCCTCCCCTGCTCACCCTGTCTCTCTCTCTCTCAGAAATAAATAAAACATTAAAAAAAAAAAAAAAAAGAATTGGGTGCTCAGAGCCCTCTGTCCCCAGGAGGTTTCTCAAATCTTGTTCTGGAAAGAGAGTGATAAAGCTGGAAGGGGCCGCACGGGGCTTTGGTTTCTCCGCTGTTCATCTCGGGCAGGAGCACACGCAGAGCCCTGGCCCTGGCTTCCTGAGGACGGCTTTCTTTCTGCCACGTTCTGTTGCTTACTTTTTGTAATTTAAAACATTTTTTTATGTTTATGTATTTTTGAGTGAGAGAGAAAGAGACAGAGCGCACGCCAGCTGGGAAGGGGCAGCTCCGAAGCAGGCTCCAGACTCTCAGCACAGACCCCGACACAGGGCTCAAACTCACGAACTGCGAGACGGTGACAAGAGCCAAAGTCGGATGTTAACCGGCTGAGCCACCCAGGCGCCCCGCGGTTGCTTCTAAAGTGGTTGCTGCTTGTTACACAGTCACAGCAGGCGGCAAGAGCCACGTTCCTTTTTGAAGGCATTTGGTTTGACGTTCCAGGTTCGCCGCCATTCCCTACGGCCGCCTGCTTGCCTCTCATTCTCTCGCTTTCGTGGAAGAGACGAGCCGTGTGTGTGGAGCAGCGGGGCTGTTTGCTTGTGTGCTCGGCCCTGGGGTCCCTGCCAAACTCGCGACTCACCCCGTGCCGTTATCCTGGAAACAAATCGGGAGATGGGAGAGCGGTTTTCTTTGCTCCCCCTACAGATTTGCTGACTACCCTTTAACTCTGGCAGGTTCGACACAGAGGAGGAGGCTGTGGCGATCGCTAATGCGGCTGACGTTGGGCTGGCAGGTGGGCTCCGGCGGGCGGGGGGGATCGCAGCCACTTGGGTGGAGGCTGGCCTTGGCCTTTTAAACATCACCCTGGGTTTTGAGTTGTAAACACCATTGGAGCATGTTCTGTTGCTTTCCGCGGCGCGAGCGGGTTTGTGCAAGTTCACAACCTTCTGCCTGGTCCTTCTGCATTTGGGAGCTCCTAGTGAGAGATGGGGGGCAGTTTGTGGGTGGAGAAGGGCACCCCGAAAGTCTCACATTCTTGGAGGCTTGATGCTTGGAAATTCCTCATCATCTTCTTCCATTCTGCCTGGCTCCTGGCAGCCTGAGCCAGACAGAGGGGGGCGGCAGGGACGGTGGAAGCAGCAATGACCGTGTGTGCAGACAGAGCCCGAGTGGCCCCCGTCCTTTTAGTTTGGAGATGGTCAGGGTGGCCACAGGATGCACCCTGTTGCCCTGACACATCATAGGCACATAAATGTACTCAGCAAATCTGCACTTAGCTTCCACAGTGAGGGAAGTGCTACGGAAGGTACAAAGACACAGAGATACACTACTGCCCCGTAGAAGCTTCCCCTCCAGGGGTAAGTAGAGGACGTAACACAGGAAGGACACACTCACTGTGGAGGCCCTTCCCCCAGCTGTCTGCACAGACTTAGCTCAAGGCTGCGGTAAGTCGTGTGCACAGGTGCGTGTGACGCTGTGCTCAGTGCACCTTTCCTCCCTTCCTGACGGGATGTGGGTAGAGGAGACCGCAGCCTGCACTAGGGCATCCGTGTCAGGCAGAGATGGGAGGAGAGAGATTCTGGGCACACGGGACCAAGGGAGTTCAGTTTGGAAAAGATGTTCGGAAAGGATGGTTGGTGACGCTGAAAATGACTAGACACAGGTCGCCTGTAGCATCCTCTGCTTCAGACGTGACGTCTGTGACAACTATACATGCTGCATGTGTCCTTTGTCCCCGTGACAGGTTATTTTTACTCTCAAGACCCAGCCCAGATCTGGAGAGTGGCAGAGCAGCTGGAAGTGGGCATGGTCGGCGTGAACGAGGGACTGATCTCCTCTGTGGAGTGCCCTTTCGGCGGGGTGAAGCAATCTGGCCTCGGGCGAGAGGGGTCCAAGTATGGCATCGACGAGTACCTGGAAATCAAATACGTGTGCTTCGGGGGCTTGTAGGACTCGTCAGTTCCTTAAAAAATAAAAAAGGAAGCTGACCTACACATACGGGGACATGCCATCCATTATTCTAGGTGAACTTCTAGGTTGTCGGAATTAGGAATTTTTTCAAACTCCTCCAGTACTCATAATCTTAAGCAGAGGTGAGCGCCACCCCTCCCCGTACCTAATGAGGGACCAATCGATGCCACGTGCCTGAGGTGCAGACTCCCCAAGAACCAGCACTGCATGTATAGAGCGGAGCCCTGAGACTCCACCACAGAGCCAGGTGCAGCACAAGCCAGGTGCAGATGAGCCAGGTGCAGATGCAGGTGCAGCACGAGCCAGGTGCAGCACGAGCCAGGTGCAGCACGAGCCAGGTGCAGCACGAGCCAGGTGCAGCACGAGCCAGGTGCAGATGAGCCAAACGCAGCACGAGCCAGACGCAGCACGAGCCAGTCGCAGCATGAGCCAGGTGCAGCACGAGCCAGGTGCAGATGCAGGTGCAGCAGGAAGCAGGTGCAGCACGAGGCAGGCCGGCCTGGCGTCCCATCCCAGAGGCTCATTACTGCCTGGGCGGTGATCCCGCCATCTCCCCTGTGGCTCCCATCTCAGACAAAAGAGGGCCTCAGGGGGGACCGCTGAGTGCGACGACGGGCTGGCCCGTCCCTGGCAGTCTCTGAGCTCAGCTCTACACACGTGCTGTTATATTCCTAGGTATTGCCACAGAGACTGAATTAATCATTTTAAGACTTCTGAAGTAGCACAGAATTGCCTGTGTTTCTGTGGGGAAAGAAGGGACACCTCTTTTTTCTGGACCTCAGGACCCCAAGATCGAGAGTAACATCCACTGACGAGCCAGCCGGGCGCCCCTGGACCACTGCTTCAGTTAAAGCATCATTGTCCTAAATTTACTACTTAAAGATTATGTGCTCATTTCCATCCTGCTTTCCATTCCATTCTGTTCCCTTCAGGAAGCCAGCCTAAGCGGAAAAGGAACAGCAGAAGTGGCAGAGGAAGGGAAGACGCACATGGGCCTGGTGGGAGGCCCCTCCCCGAGGAGTAGCTTAGTTCCCGTAGACGCGCCATTCTGCACCCCTGCCCCTCGGGTAGGGAGATTCCTACTGTACGGCTTGTTTAGCTCAATGGGAGGCTGTGAGCCCACAGAAACCAAATTATTTACAAAAAACCCTGAAAATCCGGTGCAAGGGGCCATTTATCCTCAGTAGCGGCTATGCGCACCCCCCCCCCCACCTCCGCGTCCAGCTGTGGTTTTGCCAAGGTGAAGAGGGCTGGGGCCTGCCTGCGCTTCCACCCAAGACCAAGCAGCGGTCGCCCACGGCCTCCCCTTCGCATCCTCACCCCCAAAGAGTAGGAGCAGTCTCCCCACAGTGATCCCAGAGGAAACCCAATTTCATAACTGCCAATCCGCCTAATGGAAGTGGCGTGAGGCCTTGAATTTCAGGCACATTTTATCCAGTAAGAGTTTTTAAAGCTCATCATTTGAAACAAAAATGACCCGGTGTTTCCCATCCCTTTGAAAGAAGGGCTCTGATTAAGAATATTCTAGGCCTTTCTGGACACGTCTCCATGCACAGGGATACACTGAGGAAAAGGAATAAATGCTGTTCCTGGCTAAACAGGTGGAGATGAAGCTCTTTCCCTTCCCATTCTCTCTGTGCGCAGAGTCCACCGACAGTCATAGGCAGTTCCTACTGCCAACCCCCCCAGGACTTAGCATTTGTCCCTGACTCTGGGGAGCAGTGGGTAAGTCCCTAATAGTGTGTAATGCCCATGGGCAGACTTACCGCCGGTCCTGGAGATCCCCTGGGCTCAGCCTGCATCTCACCAGCCACAGCCTGATTCCCACAGAAGTGAGCTGGAATCCGCCTCCTGGTAACACACCTCACCCAGGCTGTCAAGAGTCACGTAGGCAGCATACTGACAGCTTATTTCTACCTTTTGTTTTTGTAATTTTGGGTTGTTTTATAGAACATTCTGATTACTTAAGATTTGGGTGTGTCCGTCTGTTTTCTGTTAATAAAAATGTTATAACATTATTTGTTAGAAGTCAGGAACACCAATGCTTGGAGGTGTTGAGAATACATTCGAAATTACATGTGACAATTTGCAAACCAGTGGGTCCCTTGGCTGGGTGGCAGATCTGAGTTTTCTTGTAGATTTGGCTCACCGGGTGCATAAACTGAGGTTCAGAGATTCCACTGCAAGATCTCTGATTAATTTTGTAATTAAAATAATTTGGGAAGGAAATAGGTTGCTGTTTGGTAAAATTGTTCCAGGTTGTGGGAAGAAAGAAAAAGTGTCTTTAATTGAACGTGCCGGGGGTTATTTTTCAGTAACGTGACCGTGTGTGACCAGAGTTGGCAAACTACAGCTCACAAGCCAAATGTGGCCTGTGTGGCCTACTGCCTGTCTCCGTACAGCCCAGCGCTGCCTGTCTCTGTACAGCCCAGAGCGAAGACTGGTTTTTGTATTTCCAAATGATGGGGGGGCGGGGAATCGAAAGAATAATATTTCATGACACAAAATTATGTGAAATTCAGATTTTAGATTCCATGAATAAAACTACTGAAACACAGCCATGGCCATTCATTTCACATTGATTCCATGGCCACTTTGTAAGCAGAGCTGAATACTGGCAACACAGCCAGCATGGCCTGCAAAGCCTACGTCATTTCCTCTGACTCTTCGTGGAAAACGTTTGCCTTCCCCTGATCCAGAGATCCTGAGCCTGAGGGAGAGACAGACCTTCCTGCACTTACTGGTCATTATTTTACTTTATTGGACACCTGTGTAAAAAGCACTTTTCTGGATATCGCTCTAATAACTTCTCAAGAATTTGCCAGCAATTACTGTGTGACTCAGATGAAATTATCCAGATAACATGAGTCTGTTGGCCTAGAGAAAACTGCTCAATTTACTTCTCCCAGCTAGACAAGGATTCTCATTATAACGGTCTACCTGAATCTGTTATATTTACCCCTTTGAGTGGCTTTCAAACATGATTTTATGCCACGTGTTGTGTCCTTTGTCCTTTATTCTTGCAGAAAGACTGTGAAAATAGATATCAGAAGCACAATGCAAATAAACCTATTTCATTGATAACTAACTTTAGATTGTGCCACATGACTCCCTTCTCAGAAGGCCGGCCCAGGGTTTTAATTATTCATGTGCAGCTATGTTAGACAGCATTTTACTAGAATAATAGTGATGCGTGATGTGTGTGTGTGTGTGTGTGTGTGCGCGCATGCGTGCGCACTATATTTTGTAGGATAAGAGTAGTGGGAAGTGTGGAGCCATTCTGCTTTTTAAACGTGCACATGACTCTGTGCACAGGTTCTGATAATTGTATACGTGTCCCAGGGACTTGTCTGCAGCGCGGTATGTGGCATTAATAAACGTTGCATTAACAGAATTTCGTTTCTGTTAGGGTTTCTGGTTGTGGTTTCTTTGTTGTTGTTCTTTTTTCCCTTGCCCACTCGTTTTGAGTTTATATTGGATATTGTTAGGCCAGCTCAGATATGTGTGAAGACCTGGACTCTGCCCCGCCCCCCACGCCTGCCGCCTTGGCCTACGGAGCACTGTGAGCTGAAGATGCCCTGGACGGGACACCAGAAGAGCACTCTCTCTGCTGTCCCCCGTTTTCTTAAAAGCAGGACCTAAGCTGACAGAGGTGCCCCCTCCCCTAGGAAGGACAGAGGTTGGTCCCTAGAGACGACTGAAGGCCCAGTCAGCCTGGAGAGGGCACCAAAGGAAGCTATGTAACAGATTATCTCCGCCCTCGAAAGCCCACAGCCGCCTCCCTGTGTCCTGCTGGGTCTCCGCAAACCAACCGTTCTTTGTTGAAGATGCTCTGGAAGCCAAAAGGCTGAGCCACCTCCCTGAGCTCCTCTCTCCCCGGTGTCTGTTACACGAGGCCTGCATGTTCATCAGCTTCTGGGTGCTCTTCCCTCGTTCATCTAGCTTTCACGGCAGGGGGCCCAACACAGAAGGGTAGATGCAAAGTGATTCCTCCCTCCTGTGTCAAAGAGCTCCCTCCCCGGACACCTGTAGTCCATCAACGCCAGGGGCCAGGGGCCTGCAGGTGAAATTTTAGATCCCGGCATCTGTCCTGTGGTCTGTGCTCATTAGATGATTGCCAAACTGAACAGAAAACATACCTGGTTTATAAGTGTGGCCATGTGACAGCATTTTTCCAGCTTTCCGCATTTGCCAGCCTCTCTTCCTGTTACCCATTATATACTTTCCCCCACCTTTGGGATTTTCTGATACAGCAGAGTATGGGGAAGAAATTCCCCAAAACCCTGCTCTTCAGATATAATCAGCGTTAATTATTCTAACAATGTATCTTATATTTTCACCCACTGTTCTTTTATGTTGAGAAATTTCATGTGACCTTGCTGAACGTGACGTTGAACAAAGGTAGATTTTTCATTAGAAGAAAGATCAGTGGGGCGCCTTGGTGGCTTAGTCGGTTAAGCGTCCGACTTTCGCTTAGGTCATGATCTCGCGGTCCGTGGGTTCGAGCCCCGCGTCGGGCTCTGTGCTGACTGCCAGCTCAGAGCCTGGAGCCTGTTTCAGTCTGTGACTCCCTCTCTCTCTGACCCTCCCCTGCTCACGCTGTCTCTCTCTATCTCCTAGAAATAAATTAAAAAAAAAAAAAAAAAAAAGATCAGTGCCACTGAATACCTCTCTTTGTCATTCCATTGACGTCATGCATTTCTTTCCACCTGTTTTAATTTTTTTTTAAATCTTTTTTAATGTTTGTTTATTTTTGAGAGAGAGTCAAGAGTGTGAGCAGGGGAGGAACAGAGAGAAAGACACACACAGAGTCAGAAGCAGGCTCCAGGCTCTGAGCTGTCGGCACAGAGCCCGACTCAGAGATCATGACATGAGCCAAAGTCAGACGCTTAACCAACTGAGCCACCCAGGCACCCCAGCACCTGCTTTGATTTTTTTTAAAAAGTGAACATGGGAGGGGGGGTGCTGCCTGGGTGGCTCAGTCAATTAAGTGTTTGACTCTTGATTTTGCCTCAGGTCATGATCTGATGTTCATGGGTTAGGGCCCCACGCTGGGCTCTGTGCTGACAGTGTGGAGCCTGCTTGGGATTCTCTCTCTGCCCCTCCCCTGCTTGATCTCTCAAAATATATAAATTTTAAAAAAATGAACATAGGGTATTTTATTTAAGTCATCGATGAGGAACCTAGTAAGGGTATGATAACCAGTGGAAAGGAGAAGCCAAAAGCTCCCCAAACTTGTACAGACGAGGAACAACAAAAATGAATGGAAGCACACTGTGCAGGAGGGAAGTCGGTGAAACTCTAGGACCGGACAGAATTTGCATTGCTACCGCTCTGCTCTACAACCTTAGAGAGTCTGAAAATGCCTCCAGGGCAATGAGTGTGAGAACCAGATAACCCAGGACGGCTCTGCTCTGTGTAGACAATGCAGTTTTCCACTAAAGCTGCTTTTGACTGTGATTTTTAAAGTTAGTTCATTACCAGGACAAAGTCTCCACTTACCTCTCAATTTGTGGGTTTTTATGTGCTTGGCCTAGGCCTCTACTTAGAAGCAAGTGTCACTTTCCATCTTCCTACCCTGTCTTCTGTTCTCTATCGGTAAGTGTTTGCCTGCTACAGCCGCTTTATTTCTAAGTTAGCCTGCAACAAATTAAACAGCAAATTAGTGTGGTCTTCCTTTGTGGGTCTGAGCAATCTCTCTGGAAAAACAGCAGGTCCTGCTTATTCTGAGCGCACTGAAAAACTACCACTATGTTCTATTTGCACGTGCTATTTATAAATGAAAGGAAATGGGTTTGGAAATCAGTAGTCTGCAAACTTACTTATCGTCTGTCTGTATTATCAGCTAACGAGGACTCGTCACAGGTTAGGCCACAGGTAGTCTCGTCATAGTGGTTCAGAGGACTCGGATGTTTTGGTCAGATTAGGGAAGATGATGTGCTCACTTGCTGTGGTGCTAAGGCCTCGGGCCTTCAACTCTGGGCTCATCACCTTCAGGAGGACAGAGGTGACAATACTAAGTAGGCTTCAAATACAGGATATTTGGCCACTTAGTAAACTCATCTCAAAAAGGGAGACTCTCTGTTTAGCTGGAGACATGCTGGGTTTGCATTTTTGTTTAACTTGTTCCAGACTTTAATGGAAAAGCTTTTAGTAGTTCACTATTAAATCATCAATCTGCTTCCTCCCAACATCTTTCAACCTTTTATTTTGAAATCATTATAAATTCACAGGAGGATGCAAAAGTAACAGATTCCTCTTTACCTTGTACCCATGAGGCTACGGTCTTACATAACCAAAGCCAGGAAACTGACGTTAATTAGTATCACACTATTAAGTCAGGCCTTAAAAAAACGCCAGTTTGCCCAGTTTTTATGTACCTTTATGGGTTATCCAACTTAAGCATGTCAGCAGGTAGGTTAGTGCAGTCACTGCCACGATCAAGATACAGAACCGTTTCACCCCCACCAAGGGAATCTCTCCTGCTACCCCTTTATACTTAGCTGGCTTCAAAAGTAAAGTCATTTGGGCAGGTTTCTTGTTAAATTTTCATCCAAGTGTAACGTGCATGCAAAGAAAAGCGTATTTGTTGGGAACTTGCTGAACCTTCACAAACTGGGGATCCCTTGTGACCGGCACCCAGAGCAAGAAATAGAGCACCGCCAGCCCCTGCCTGTGACCTTTTGGAATGACCAGTTTCAGTGAGGTCTTTGGGCTACAGTTCTCTCTAGATGCCAGGAAACCTCTCACTTTCCCCCAAGATCAAAAGGAAAACACTTCTACTTTCGGGAAGCTTTAAAGCCAGAGTTTAATGCTAACTTTTAGGTGGACTCAGACGTAGCTTAGAGGTTTGTTTTGATTTGAATTTATCTGCATTCAAAAATCATCACTGTTGAGATTATAAAGATTTGATGCAAAGGGCAGTTCGGTTTTCAGTAAATGAACGCTGACCTCTCACAGGACCGAGGACGACCTTGGAGCCTGAACTTAGTTTCGGTAACCACAGTAATTCCATCCCCATTACTGGGATCTTTACTTCAGCAAGTATTTTCTTGGTCCAAGGTGCTAACGGATTCACTTAACTGGCTTGGAAAGAAGGAAACCTGAGAGGTAAAAATCTCCAAAAGTTTTGGATGCATATTATATGGTCCCATTCACATGAAACTCTGGGAAATTCAAGCTAACCTGTAGTGACAGCGGATCAGGGGTTGCCTGAGGGAGGGTGAGGTTACAAAGTGTCACAAGGAAATTTCATCTCAATCGTGGTGACGGTTTCCCAGTGGGACACACATTAACACTTACCAAGCTGTACTGCATGTTTGCATTTTAGCATGAATCCATTACAGCTCACGTACTTTTTTTTTTTAAGTCAACCCAGTGTCTGGCTCTAAGCAGCCCATGTAACAGGCAGGCGCGGCTGCGAGGCTTTAGGGAACCGAACTTCCTGAGTTCTCAGCTGGGAACGCGACGCAGGAGAGACACAGTCGCACACAGATAACACGCGGGCTCCACGATGGGTAGAAACGGGGTTAGGGGCTGTAACCCCGCTCCGCACACCGCCGCCAGCTGCAGGCCTCCTCCAGCAGGGGGCGCTCTGCCGTTAATGTCGGGGTAGGGGGGCTCACGCAGGAGGAGGGGGGCCCCTGGCGCCCCGAGAACCGGCAGGGGGCGCTCCGCAGGCGCACGCGGGCCGGCCCCCCGGGCCCCCCCCCCCCGGAACCCACAGCGGGGCCGGGGGCAGAGCTGAGCCTGCGCGGTTCCCCCCGCCGAGGGCCGGCAGGTGCCCCGCTCTGCGAGGGGCCGGGAGTGGGCGCGTGAGGCTGGAACGCGCTCCGAGACTGCTCCCCGCGTTGCTCGGTCACGACCACCACTGCCCCACGGACTGGGAACCCGCGGCGGTGAGGGTCTCGGCCGGCTTCTCCATCGCAGCTGCTGGGGGGTGGGGGGGGTGCCCTCCTCTGGGGACGGGCAGGCGCCTGCACCCCGAAATCCGCCCCACCCGGCCTCCTGCTGCACCTGCCGGCAGGGACCCCGCGGTGCAAGGGAGGCAGAGGTCAGGCGCAGGCCAGGGGCGGCTTTGAAACCCAGGGCGGTGGCGCGGGTGTGACCTCCCCAAGGCGAGAGACGAGGGAGGCCTCTCTCTGCGGCCGGTCCTCACCTTCCGAAGGAATTCCTCCTTGTGCCGGGAAAGGCCCGCGAGAATTTGCTCTCCAGCCGTGGAGGGTGGGAGGTCTTTGGGTAGTGAGGGGCGAGGGAGGAAAGATGGGCTTGGCAGCTGAAAAATTTCGCATTCAGGTCCCACTTCCAGGCTGTGGCCCTTCCAATGGAGGGGGACTGTCGGGACCAGTCGGGTACACACAACACCTGCATTATGCACTTCAAGCACTTTGCAAA